TGAATGGAGAACTCAATTCTATTATTGCAGTTGTTTGACAGTAAACGGGAAGTTCTTGAGGAGATAGATTTGATCATTGATCATTCATTGGATCAAATCTATCTCCTCAAGAACTTCCCGTTTACTGTCAAACAACTGCAATAATAGAATTGAGTTCTCCATTCAACAATATATAGTAGTTTCAACCATGTTCTACCATCCATCAATTAATAGAGTACCGGCATGTAAATAATGTTTATTTTATTTATTTATTTGCTCATTTGTTAATTTATTACAATCGAAGAGACTATTTTATAACAATTTGTGGGCCTCACCTTGTCTGTTTAAACTTTTAAAATTTTTATACCTTTTATTCAACTTACTCATTTAAATAAAACCACAGACATGTAATATTGGCATAATTATTGTAATTTACAACATCTACTTTGTTTATCGTTATTGGACAACACCCTAATATGGGTTTTTATTATTTCAGCATTTGTTTAACTTTGTATCGAGACATATTTACCTATTTTAAATATAAATGTGTTAGGTTAGGTTATGGACAACTTTTAATGCGTGTCTCTTTGTCGCAGAAAAACTGGAAAAGTGTTCTTAAATAAATAGGATTAAAATAAAGTTAGCCTAAAATATTCGAGGTTACCTTACAGTTGAATATAAAACGTATATTTACAAATTATACTAAATATAATAAACGTATCAACATGGATCTTAAACTCAGTCAAATATTGCATTTCAAATAGTTTATGGACTCTATTGGGAATTCATTCAAAATCATGTTAAAAATAAAACGTGCAAAACTGACGTTTTCTAAATTTTCACAAAATTTAATTATGAAGTCATGAAGCATTTCAGTGTCAACGCACGTTTATCAAGTGAAATATTCACATTTTTGTATCACAATTTACGGATAGGCAGTTAACATATTTAGAAAACAAGACTTTCTTGTCTACTGTTAGTCATGGTATATTGTCGGTATTTTCAATTAGTATTTCCCGTGAACTATAATAAAATTGACATTACTTGAGGCTGTTATTTTCAATATTTAAAATTTAGAATCAACAATATTCCAGGCTTGATTATCAGACAAACCAACCGTGCATCGTTACAGGCAGAGCTACATTTTTAAGAAGAAAGATGAAAAATTCAAGCATCAATGTATAAGAATTGTAAAACACTTTCTTAATTTAATAATACGGTTTATTATCAGCAATCAAGACTGACATACTGTGCATAGAGTGTATGATTGATATGATTATAAAAAATATCAGAAATTAATAAAAACATGCCAAAAAGTAATACATGTAGAGGGTGACACTATTAAACGTTAAGTACAAGTAGTTAAATATTTATAATCAGTTAATCCCCGCGAAAAACGGATAACCTCATATTAAATTGTATATATATATATATATATATATATTTATATATATATTATATATATTATAAATATATATATATATATATATTATATATATATATATATATATATATATATATATATATATATATATATATATTTAACGTGATTATTTCGACCAAAAAACAATTTATCAGTATGTTGGAAATATCGGGTATGGGGTCTATATTAAAATAAAAATCTTTGTTTTTTCTAAAACTCAATATTTCGCTCTTTATTTAAAAGCTTCATCAGGAGTAACTGTAAAAAAACAAACATTTCAAAAAACTGACGTACACTTAGATTTACAATACTTACAGACTTAAAAGATTTCACACATAAATAAATTTGATATTAAAATAAACATTTTTTGATAATGTATAAGTTTGTTAAAATGTAAATATATATGAGCACGTTCGTTAACAGTAAGTAAATGAGATGGAAACAACTAAAAGTTATTTTAAATGCAAAAACTAACAATGTAAGAAAAGATTAGAGGAATATTATTTCTTTAATTAATCATTAAGGCTAGTTAGTATGATTAATCATTAAGGTGAGTGAGTTTTATATAATAAGACTGAATTTCAAAGATTTTTTCAATATGAACTATATTTTCATAAACTCAGTTGTTTTTAAATGAACTATTTGGCAGATATTTAAAATACGACCCTGAACCATTCGTATTTTGAAGTACCTGCCAGATGTATGGTGAGTACCGCTTTTTTTATTCCATTTTTAATTTTTTAAAAGTGCAAATTAACCTATAATTGTGTATTATGTAATGTTTAAATAATTAAAGTGCTAAACTTTTAAGCAACAATTAAGTGTTTTATTTATAACAGGCCGACAAACCCAGGAATTAAAAAGTTTCTATATTCTGCAGCTTAGTAATAAACATTTCTTAAAAAAAAGTTCCATTTGATCGTGTAATTCCAATAATTCGCTCACTCACTGTAACTGTCTATAGAAGTCACTAAATTATAAAATATATTTTACAACTTATATATAAATAGCCATAAACATATCAAAATGCTTGATTTGACAAATGTGCATTGACACAGAAGTTGCTGTTAAACATTTAAAAAAACTGTATTAGTGCAGTCATTGGAGCATTATTGCTCCGAATTTTTTTACTGTGAACCGAATTGCATACAATTTTGGAATTAGGTTCATCTTACTCTTACCTTCAAAAGTGAAAATAATTTGAACTCCGCAACCACTCTGGGGGTGGTTGCCACCCCTTCTCGGGGGTGAATTTTTTTTCAAACTAACCTCGGATATCGATAGAAGGCCTAATTTTACGCAAAAATCATCTATAAAGTTTTTCGAACAATCCAATACTTTTCAAGTTATTGGCAATTGAAAATTCGCAATTTTTTCACGTTTTTCATTGGTTTTTTGCAATCCAAAAATATACGTTTCATCGAAAATTTTATAAAAAAACAAAATTGTAGCAGGTAAAAAAATGAACAATTTGGTTTTTTATAAAGTATTCTAAGTGCAATATTAAGCTAGATATTAAAGATCAAAGCCGTTTTTTATTTTGTCTGAAATTTAATCGATGTGGCCAATGCCATCTAGCGGCGAGCAGATGCATTTTAGGCATTCTAATAAAAAGGGTTTTGTAGTGCTTGAAATAAGCTTTAAAATTAGCACTATTAAAAGTCTTTTGCACGAAAAATAAATGAACTGTAAATAAGAGGAGCATCTAATGTTTTTTCTTTTAAATCAATGGGTTTCATAAGTGTCATTTCCACCAAAATTAAAATTAATCGTATTCCGCCTAGAATTAACTTTATTATGAAGAGTTTGATAGATTGTATCAGTTTGGCTGCTTCAGGACACATATTTTTCAAAAAAGTCACGATTAAAAAAAGATCAAATTTAAAAAAAAACACCTTTTTTTCATAATATCTCAAAAATGACGGCAGATACGTATAAAAGTGAAGGGATTGAAAATTTAGGTATTTTTCTAACACGCAATTTGGTTTTTTTTGTTTTTTCTGTCAAACAAAAATTGACGGAGATATGATTGTTTAAAGAGCGCGTGGCAGAGCAATCACAGCCTCTATTAAACCCTTTAACCATTCACCGTTTTAGAAAAAGGGTTTTTTTACTATATATTGCAATAAAGGATGTTAGCTTTACAATGGTTTTTTTTATAAATTATGATAGCATGAAAATTAAAGGAGTTATGGTCCAAAAACTTATCATATTGTTTTCTGTAATAGTAACTGAAAATTTCGGAGGGTGAATATTTGGAGCAATATGAAAGTACGCAATATAATAGAGACCCAAAACTATTGTAATATGTAATATGTATACCTATAATAGGTATATATACACATAATATGGCTCATATATTTTGGAATAACACATTTGAGTGATGGGGCCAACGAAAAAGAAAGGTAATCAGCTGTGCGTGCTCCGTTTATTCGTTATAATGTGACCAGTGTATTTCCGTCTGCAAAGGAATGAGCACGTGTTTAATATAATATTTTAACTAGACACCCAATTTCAATACATTTTGTTTAATAAAAAGATGTAGGTAGATAAAAAACTGTTTTTTTAATAATATCTTATTAAAATTGCAGAAGAGCTGGTCTGTTTTGTAATAGTACCTGTGGAACGTGCAGTGGAGGTAACTGCCAAAATAGCCCTCCAATTCAGCCAGAAGATGTTGAATGTGATAGGGACTCCGACATTGAGTCATGAATAATAATATTATATTTTAATAATAATAGTAGAATTTTATATAATTTGTAAATATTTTATTCAATAAATGGCAATTTTTTACTCTAAATTAAATTATTTTTAAATATGTAATCATATATATTTACTGTTTTAATTTAGGGGCAGTTTTAAGGGTAGAAAAGCTTAAGAATATGATAATCATTTTCGAGAGTGTGGAATAATATTTAAATCCTTTTCATTTTATCAAAAAAAATTTTAACAATTTTTTATCAAGGGGTAGTTTTCAAGGGTTGAAAGTGGGTTAAAAATTTGATAATTATTATAGAGAATATAAAATATTACTTACTCTATACTTACATCTTTTTATGTCATACCAAAGTATTTTTTTGTGATTTTTTCAATTTATGGGTTGTTTGCAAGGTTGTAAGATTTTCAAGGGGTTGAAAATGATTTTAATATGAGATAATTGTGTTAGAAAACACTTTACAATTTCACGACTTACTATTAGACATGTTTTCTAGCGATAAAATGGCTCAATGTCAATTTTTCCATTAAGGGGTTGTTCATACCCCTTAAAAATAATAGGCGGAGTTCAGATCATTTTCACTTTTGAAGTTAAGGGTAAGATGAGCCCAATTCCAAAATTTCATGCAAATCGGTTCACAGTAAAAAAATTCGGAGGAAAATTCGAAGACCGCATTTTTCGCTTCAATGGCTGCACTATATTATGTTGATCAATAAATATTATTCAATATACTTTTACGAATGAGACAATATCTGCAAAATATTTCGACAATTGTTTACCCCTAATAAAATGATTATGTTCCTTTGATAACATTAGCTATACAAAATTTTCAGATATAGTTTACATTATCCTTACAAACCTATTTAGAAGTATATCCCAATACTAACTCCCCACAAGTTCAATCCTACGATACTTTTTCCTTTTATTAGAAACAGGGTCTTTAAAAAGAACTGGATCTAACCTTAAGTTTGATCTGAGCAGTGGCATGTAACCAAAAACAGCAGCAAAGGTGTTTAAGCAAGTCTGCCTTTGGATGAAATGATCCGGGTCGTTCCAAGGTGACCAACTACCTGCACTAGGTTGTTCTTTGTATTGTTTCCTTTGGGTAACTTTTATTGGAGGTCTTCGTGTGACATGACTAACTAAAAAGTTCATCAGTATATCTTCGCAATTCTGACTCTGCTCTACGGTTTTGTGTAACAACGGGCTTAGCCATTCTGTGTATAGATAATTGTAGTATCTATGGTAAAAGGCAGCTCCTGTTAATACGATGGAATAATCGTTGGTCCATTTAGAAGTATAGCCCCAAGTTGATTTAGAATCGTCCCAATAGTGGGATCTTCCTGGATATCCTACAATCCGATCAGGAAATTGTTTCCATACAATGAACGCAAAATCAATTTCCTCTGTAGTAAGAACTGTGTCTTCATCTAAAGATAATATTGCTTCAGTTTCAATTTCCTTATGAGTGAAAAATCTCTGTGATATACTGGATTTGACTTCATTTCCTACATTGGAATTCACATTCGGCTGGACTATATGTAACGGAACGTGTAAAGGTAACCCAGGCCACCTATTTCTATTAGCTGGACGCTTTTCACTTGACCAAACTATTAATATTTTTGCTATATACTTGCTTCGTCCCACATTTGTTACTAACCTGTACAGAGGAGAATTTGAAGCTAATGGCACTCCTAATTGACAGTATATCACTGCCGTAAATCCCATTCTCTCATCTTTTTCTATGTGAAAGGGAAAATCATCAGAAAAATCAGAAAATGTTGACAGCATCACTAAGGCTCCAGGAAAGTTATTCCATGACATACCATCTCTAATTGGCTGTTTGGGAAGTCTTTCACGAATTATTTCTAAGGTAGTATACACTATTTTTTCTATGGAAGAAAAGTATCTATCATAGAGAACCTGTGTCTGTTGGCGAAGTTGCAAGATTTTCCTTGGAGATAGGGAACGGATTATATGAGGTACCTAGAAAATAAAATATGTCTCAAAAAGGATGGAAGAAAATGTTCTGTTTCTGTTTCTCACAGAGCCAATTTAGCCATAATAAGAGAGCGGATTCAATACCACAGGTTTAATTTATTTATAATAAAACAGGAAATTGTAAGTATTGAAGACTCTCTTTATTATACAATATCAAATTCTGACTTTAATAGTATAACACATTGCATACACATAGTATACAGTGGTGAGTGCCATATCACCCGGCTTTTTAACGTAAGAGATAGAAAACACAGTTACCTTGTGAAATAAAAGGAGATGAAACTCGTAGAGGTGGGAAATAATCGATAGAAACCTATAATTTACATTACATTACATTACGACTATCGATAGTCTCACACCTTTAGACGTTACCTTCGATCTAAATCACCTCGGTCATAATTATTATGTTTGACAGTTTGACGTCGTATGTGTGACGTATTTCCATTTTTTAATTTAGATAAAGTAAAAACTGATTGACCACAATAAAGCAAAAATGTGAATAATATAATTTAATTAATAGTGATTACTTATTCTAAAGTTTTAAATTATTAACCAAGAATAATTTTACTATGATTTGAGGAGTTTCATACACTCTTGTCACAGAATAATTAGCAATCCTTCGTGGATTAGTGGTAAGAATTCGACTCTGCGACGCAGATGATTAGAGTTCAAAACCTACATGAGGTTTTCTTTTTTCTTTTTTTAATAATTTGAAATTATGCAGAGATCGTTTTGCTTTGAATCACTAAACATTTATGTCAGTCGTTACTAGTATTTGAAGTGTTTAAAGTTAAACATAAATATCTTATTGAAAAACTAGTGTCGTCGTACTTTCGAAAATAAAGTATATATACTGTTTATATACGAACTCCTCTTGGAGCGAACACGGATCCATAAGTAAAAAAATACGTATAATAGATTGAATTGTTGATCGTGATGAGCCAGCCTATTGGAAACATATTTACAAATTGTTGTCTAATCATGTTATCTGAGAATCCATTCACATGCCAGACAACAATTTGCACTTTTTCCTCGACCGTTAAAACCATTTTCACGAATTGTTTTTTCAATAAAAAGTTTCTGTTTACCGTGCAAAAACACTTCTCGATATGTTATTATTTGATGGCTTAAAGGCTTCGCTTCGCGCGCATCCATTCCAATGTTGTCAATTGTTTTGAAAATCATTATCTGTACAGAGGAATTGATATTAACATTGAGAATTTAGTGATGGATTTGATATAAACAGTCTTCACCGGATTATTTTGCATTCACAACTGAAGACTGTATGAATTGAATTTGAATCATTTTGTATTTCCGTTTTATAACATTGGAATAAAAATAAATTGTAAATAATGAGTTTTTCGAAATTTTGTTACCTAATATGTATCATATTTTCTATTATTTTTTTATTGATAAAACAAAAATTTTATCCTTGGTGTGGAATTGAACCCCAATTTTCTCGTCAATAGACAACGTCCCTAACCACTACACCAATTTCACATACATTAAATGCTTTCAGACAAAACATACCTACCTTTATTTTAGTCAAATATTTCAGTTGAGTTATTTTTACTATTAAATAAATTTAAAGATTTATAATTTAAAATCGCTACTAATGAATGTTTTTTACTATAATATATCTTAATTTATTCAAGTATTTATTCTAACATCAGAAATTATTAAAATAAAATATTTTTGAGGTATCCGTATAATTATGACTGAAGTCAAATAGCCACGTCTAACGTCTAAAGGTGTGAGACTGTCGATGGTGGTAATGCAATGTAATGTAAATTATAGGTTTCTATCGATTATTTCCCACCTCTACCAAAGTTTTATCTCTTTTTATTTCACAAGGTAACTGTGTTTTCTATCTCTTACGTTAAAAAGCCGGATGGTAAAGCACTCATCACTGTATACCTACTAACATATACAATAGACAAAAACCACACACATAAAAAAATTCAACAATTTAGAAAACACTTCTCTTCTTTGAGTGCCTCTCCTATCGGAGATTCGATACCATTATGGCGATTCTAATTTTATTTACTGCTGTTTTGAATAATTCGTTAGTGGTACAGCCAGAAACACTAGCAACACCAAATATAATAACCAAATAAGACACAATGTAAACAACACCGCAGTTGTCAATTTGTCCAAAAGATAGTTGAACGCAACAGAGAACCTGATGCTCTCAAGAGGTCAAACTTCCTAAACAAGACACAATTAGTGTGAAACAACTAACACACTGAGATCTATCCTGTCCAAAACCAAACTCAACAACACACAAGAAATATTAAAAAACTTCATCTATAAAATACCTTGTGAATACTACAATTTCTACGTGGGAGAAACCGCAAGGCCATTAAGTGTCAGGATAAACGAGAATGAAATATACATCCCAGAGAAATCCCAGATATGCAAACATGGAAAGATGCATCAATAATCATGAAAGAAAGAGACATGAAAAAGAAAAGAGTCAAAGAAGCAGTCCTGATCCTACTCAACGAAGAAAAATATGTGACAAACCCACCAGCAGAATGTAGCAGACTTTGGTAGCCAATACTAAGAGAAAAATCGACAACAAGAATATACCAACAATAGCAAAGTAATAGGAGATCGAAAAACATCACCTACAATCTTATACGCAATACATATGAAACACACAATTCAAAAATCTACTATTGTTTAATTTACGTTACTCAATCACAATTGGATGGGGTTAAGCAAAAAAGAGTCAACCCACACAAGTCTGATTTTGAGATAAATAGTTTAAAGTCGAGTAGTCATAACTACTCGACTAACAAGGAAATTAGACGAATACCAACCATATGAACAGGCAGGTTTTAGAAAAGGCTACTCAACTTCCGATCACCTGTTAACCACAAAAATATTATAGAAAAATGTAACGATACAAGTTTCCAGTTTTCCTAGCATTTGTAGACTACGAAAAAGCTTTCGATACCATAGAACACACGGCCGTAATAAACGCAATGCAAAATTGTAGAATAGACAGCAGATATATTAACTTAATAAAAGAAACTATGAACCAAGCTACAGCTACATACTACCTAAATGAAAATGAACACACGAACCTGTACCATTAAACAGGGGAGTCAAACAGGGAGATACTTTATCACCCAAACTGTTCACCTTAGTTTTGGAGGACGTTTTTAAAAACCTAAATTGGAAATATAAGGGAATAAACATCAATGGCCGCTACCTCAGTAATCTACGATTTGCAGATGACATAATCCTGATAGCTACTGACCTACAAGAAATGCAAACCATGCTTTTAGAACTACATACCGAATCTTCTAAAATAGACTGAAAATGAATTTAAACAAAACAAAAGTCATGCACTCCGAAGACACCGTGACAATAATAAACGATAAAGTTATAGAAAAAGTTGAAGAATATATATACTTAGGACAAAAAATAATCCTAAATAGGGAAATTCAAACGGAAGAAATAAAAAGAAGAAGAAAGTTAGCTTGGGCAGCATTCGGTAAACTGAACTATATACTCAGAAATCAACAAATTCAATTACATCTTAGATCTAAAGTTTTTGATGCATGCATTATTCCGATATTAACTTATGCGGCACAAACATGGACAATCACAAAAAAGAATATGAATATACTTAGAGTCACTCAACACGCGATGGAAAGAGCAATGCTAGGTATATCACTTAAGGACAAGAAAACAAACACATGGATAAGACAGAAAACCAAAGTCACCGATGTGGTGCAAAAATCATTAAAGTTGAAATGGGAATACGCTGGACATGTAGCTAGGAGCGATCTAAACAAATGGCACAGATCAATTTTAACCTGGAGACCATACCAACACAAAAGACCCAGAGGCAGGCCTCCTATGAGATGGACAGATGATCTGAAAAGGACTGCCGGGAAAAATTGGCTACAAGTAGCGTACAATAAAAAACAATGGAAAGGAAGACTTGAAGAGGCTTATGTTCAGATGTGGACGTGAATGGCTAGACGAAGAAGAAGAAGAAGTTTAAAGTCTATAATCTGTTACAAATCACATGTTATATTATAGTGCACCTACAATATATAATTATATCAGTAAAATTAGGTATTATTTTTTCAACACAATCAAAAAATACCAATTATTTCTGTGTAAAAAAATGTTGGATAAATCATTTTTGCTTTTTAGGCTATACAAGAAAGTAAGTTTGTTTTAAAATACCGTAAATCACATACTAATTATAAAACATGTTTTATTAATATAAAATGTAGGACAAAATATTTGATTATATAGTATATTTGAAAAATCTCCTGGAGTAAATTCTCAGATACTAATCTCGAAGTCGAAATACATAGGCGTGCACATCTTCTAACTAAAACGTAATCTTAAAAGAAAAGTTTGCGTTAAGTTTATTTGGATATGTAGAACAAAGAAATTAATCCAATCCAATACTGATTTAAAATAAAAAGTTACACATAAAAAAATTCTAATAATTGTGAAACATACAGTTAATTTAAAATAATAAAATACAATAAATTATATTGAAACGTAAAATACATACACAAAAACTGTAAGTTTTTATACATTCCTATTAATAATTAATAATATTCTTAATACTATTGGAAATAAGAATGAAAATTGTATTATAATTGGTTTCAATTGAGTGTAGAGTAATAAATCATGAAGTGTCATAAAATTTGCCTGAATTTCGGTGTCGTCATGGGCGTAGGCAAATGGACGGATGTCAACTTCGTCGTCAAAAATTGATGTACCTCAAAATATCATATTTTGGATATTTTGTGATAACCAATTTTATTTAATTTTTCGATTAACTTATTCTTCAAACTCGTATTCCATTATATGGTCATTAAAGCTAATTACATTTTTATTTATAAAAACAAATTCACTTCCTTACTGAACGAATAAAAGCATTAGAAGAAACTGATAAGGGTATGACGCACCTCCTAATATTACTAAGAACTAAAATAAATCAACAT